GCCTAAAACATTTTTTAAATTATTAATGTCAAGCTAATTGGGAATAATGGCCGAAATTACAATCCAAAAGAATAAGAGATCTCAGGTCAAAAAATATTTCTTTAGCATCCATTTTCAACTGACAAGAAGCGGAGGCTTACGAATATGTCGAAATATGAGTTATAATAACGAAACTGAGGTAGGTGAGACATGTACCCCATATTTCCTGCGCAGTATATCTACTTTTCTCAGTAGCTCATCAGGCTCCTCGCTGTCATCCTCCGGCTGCTTGTTAACAGGCTGGCTAGCAGTGGTCTGCTGTTTCTGATATTGTTGGCCCCGAACCGATTGCTGTTGCTGAAATTTCTGACGACCGCTAACTAAAGCCTCACCCCTAGCCCCAAAGCCTCTTCGATTAGATGTCCCCCCACCTCGGCTTCCAGAAGCCAGCAACTTTCCACTATTGATACGATTTTGTGCCTCTGTAGGGGCGGGAGGCGAAAGTAGATTGCGATGGAATTCGACAGCCATGGGGAAGGTTTCGTGAACTGGAAGAAGTGGCAAGATTTCCGATTCAAGACAGGCTTCAATGCAATCCGGCCGACCAGTCAGAACCAGATAGCCGTAATTTTGACCGGTATCAGAATGTTCAGCGTCTGAAGTATAAGCGCAAAAGAATAAGATTTAAAAAAAAGAAAAGGATTGAAGACAGAAAAAAGGTATATAAAGTAGCATATTGGCGCTCTATATATTGCGAGCACCAGAACATAAACAACTAGCATTAACTAGTGGTTAAATATAAAGAATAGAACAATATAACTCAACCGATTTTCGAATTTTTAAAATATAGTAAATAGCGAGGGGGAATTGAAATCTCTGGAAAAAATATAGAAAAGAACAATATTGAAGTTAAGACTTTGAATAGTGTTAGAGATTATTTCTACCGTTTTGATGTGGGCCGTCAGAATCATTATAAGCACCCTGTGCTCCGAGCCCAGACAGTTGCAAATGTATCTGAACGCGATGCTGTGCCTCAAACTCAGGCAGTTGAGGTCTAAGTCGGCCAAGTACTTGGCGATGGGTGGGATCAGTAATCGGCACACGACGAGTGGTACGCAGCGTCAAGTCATTAATCATGTCGAGCAGTGCCTGCTGGGCGACCTGGATAAAAAGAACGTGTAAAAGTGCATTTTAAAGGATAAATATGTCAAAAGAGGAATAATGGGCGGAGCACATTTCTATTAAGGAAATAAAGAATGAATGCACTATAGTCAAACAGAACAGGCTCCCATTAATCCTTCTTCTTTCATCTCAAGAATCTAACATGAAAACCAGCAAGCAGTGATTTCACTGGTGAAGAAAGCTTTTCGACATTTTCATAGATTCGAAAATCGGCTTTCATTTTGCATAACACTCACGATCAATTTGTCTTTTTCTAACTCATATTACGTCCTGGCACAAGTGGTCATTCCCATAGACATCAATAAAATTTCACATACTAAAGAACATTTTGTTTTTTTCAGATTTAAATTAATGTAAAAATAGAAAAAAACAATTGAATTCCGATGTCATCATGGAGAAGTCGCAAATATCGGATACAAAATCGCAGAGCTCATAATGAAAGCAAGTTACTTTTAATCATTGCTGAGATTGTT